GGGTGTTTTAGAGAGTATCTCTATAAATATGGACATGACGACGGGACGAATTGTTCCTTCTGCGACAGTAGCGGAGAAAACGCGCTACACATCTTCTTTYTCTGCCGACGGTATGAAAAGGAGAGAGCCGATATACAGAAACTGACAATGGAAGAAGTCACGCCTGATAACATAGTGCGGTTTATGACTGAGTCAAAACAAGTGTGGGATAGTGTGAGAGCGTGGTGTGCTATAGTTCTGAAAGAGCTAAGAATGAAAGAGTGGCAACGCAGTGAAATCAGAAGGATGAATGAGGAGTAGGTCTGAATGACGTGACTGACGAGCCGAATGGCTAAGCTTGGCCCCACGATGTAATGCTTAACGGCAGTTCCGTGGGGCAAATAAACAAGCAAAAACAATGGTGTTAAGGGTTAGTACGTAGGCGTATTGGTCTCTGCTCGAGCGGTCAATACGAATCGTGCATACCGTCCGGAAAAATGACGGTATCTTTCGAAGATTCCCCCTCCAAAACCAAAAAAACAAAGACAAAAACATCCACTTACTCATGCTTCACGCTGAACATCGCCTAATGCAGCATATAGTCCRTCAAGAGTTCTACATTCCCCGTCTTAAGCGCCAAATAAAGAAATGCATTTTTTTGTGCAAGATCTACACTATGCGCAAGCAGAAGTTGCGAACACAGATTATGGCAGCACTTCCACCGGAACGCTGCAACTTTGCTCGCCTTTCACAGTTACAGGTGTCGACTTTGCTGGGCCTTTTCAGATAAAGGCGTCAATGCTAAGGTCCCCCACTCTAATGAAAGGATATGAGGCTGTCTTTGTCTGTTTTACGACAAAAGCAGTGCATCTTGAGCTGTGTACGAATCTGAAAAAGGAGGCTTTTCTCGCGGCATTCGTTCGCTTCGTCGGATGACGCGGCTTCCCATCCAAACTGATGAGCGATAATGGTAAAACCTTCATTGGAGCCCAAAGAGCCACTGAAAAGGAGTTTGGAGATTGTACAAAGGTATGCTCTCCAAGGTATTAACTGGCAATTTATCCTCCCAAGCGCTCCTCATATGGGTAATTTATGGGAATCAGCAGTAAAAAGCTTTAAATCCACTTCAAAAAAGTAGCTGGAAACTACAAATGTAATTATGAACACAGCCCTGACACCAGGGCATTTTCTCAAAGGAGCACCCATTCTGGCCACACCTGAGCCAGACGTGGGGTCGCTATCTTTATTAAATCAATGGCAGAGAATAAAAATTCTCCATTACGATTTCAGCTGCCGATGGAAGGAAGAATATATAAAGGACCTTCATAAAAGGTACAGGTGGAAGAGTCCAGAAAAGGCGCCAAAGCTTGGAGATTGTGTCATCATCCATGATGACTGTCTACACCCCACCGAATGGTGGCTGAGCCGCATAGAAAAACTACAGTACGGTTCCGACGGTCATGTTCGAGTCGTCGATCTCCGCACTCAAAGCGGTATATTAACAAGACCGCTCGTGAAACTATGTTTTCTACCATACATTGACGAAACCACAAATAACGAAAAACCGCCGATACTACCGTAACGCAATAAAATAACCAAAAACCCAACGTAATAAACCCGCAAATAAAACCCTCGTTGAAACTAATCCGAAACCTGACCAAATGGTCGTCCTACGTGACGACCCTTTCATGCCACATAACGTGACACAATCGCCATACACATTTTAATGACACACATTTATAACCACATTACTCCTCCCATACAGATTACATTGGATGTGGATATGCCAGCAGTGCCAACACCAACGGTGAGGTCTATAACTGTGTCACGCCCTGGGGCAACTCCAGCGCCACGAATCCCAGCGGCAACCACCACAGCAACCGCTCCTCGTAGTGGCAAGCGACCACTACCACCGCCCTCAGCACCGGTAGCGGAATCTCAGCGCAGCCGATATCCCCTATGTCGGCGCCCACACCGGCTACAACATTGTAGCATTTTCCGCAGCATGCAGACCATGCAACGGCAGAAGATTGCTCAAGCTCACGGGCACTGCCTGAATAGCTTGGCAACAATAAACACAACACAGGAGTGCACATCAGTCACCCTATGCCAACTGTACTATAGGCCGCACCACACCATGCTGCATCGCACCCCAAAACGGCCCGATACGAACCGGTCGCAGCAGCCCCGTCGACACCGAAGGCTAGTTGCCCCTCCATCGTCCAGAGCAAGGCGAAATAAAGCATCCCCCCGGCGCCGGCATCATCGTACACCAAACCGCCGCTCCACTGGCCTTATTAGCAGTAGTTGCCACGCTGCAGCAATTACAGCGACTGCTAGTCTAATATTCGCCTAGGGGGCCGGGATAGCTAGATGAGTTAGCTCTCCCCTCTATACCCACGGCACTGAACGACCACACGACGACACACCACACCAACGCCATCCACACACGAAGACACCAATATGCAGACATTCCGAATGAAGACACCACCCACTACTACACACGAATATATACCACATATGCGGACATCACACCACAACTCTACACTACCCAACAATCAAAACCGCCCGCTCCAGAGGACGATCTCCCCTTTTTTACGTCGATCTTCAACCGAGCGAACGTGTCACGCAGCGTAATTTTTTTTACCCACATTCCGCACGTATTATTGCATATACTTATATTTTGAAGTGGTAGTGCAGTGAATGAAACAAAAAACCGAAATTTTGTCTTTTTTAAAAAAACTAAAATAAACCCGAATTGTGTCTTTTTTTCTAATTAAATTTTGCTGGTGAAATAACCAGTGCCGAGTTCCAAGGTGAGTGGTGGCTAAAACGAAGTAAGTAAACACATAAGTACATATGAATATATAACAAGAAATGAAACAGCAAAACACGGTTTTTTATTTTCATTTCACATATATGTATGTATGTATATGTGCATATTCAAAAATAAATATGTGTGCATGTATGAAGCTAAGTGAAAGTGGGATTTTCGAAGTTATTAAAGCGTGTCAGAAAATTTTTTGGGGAGAAACACCATTGCACCTTTTTATGTACGCCTACCAAATATGAGCCCTTAATATTGGGGGGTGCGTTGGAGGGAGTTCGTCAGATTAGAGAAAAAAAATCGATGATTCGGGAAACTCGAGCGCGTCAGATTAAGAGATGGTAAGTTAGATACATGAAGACGAGTGTATATTTCAATATTCTGACAGTTTGAGCGTGACTTAGAGAAATAGCAGGGTGAGAAATTTGTAAAAAAATGCGTCACCTTAAAATACTCGAGCGCGATAGATTTTTTTTTTTTCATTTTAAAGGTAATTCTGTCAGAATCATGAAAATCCTATAATCTGACAGTTTCCATGGGACGATACAGGTAAAATCGTCGACGAAAGGTCAAGCGTACTGAAGCTGAGAGGTGTGTATCCCCCACTTCTCATTTTCTTTCTCACTCTCTTGCACCGTCCACATACTAGCGTCTGCCGCCATGATGCCATCTCAGCTGATCACCATAGCGTGGTTGTTGTTAGTAGACGCTTGACAATTTTGTTTGTTTATGGCGTTTTCTATTTTTTTCCGTTTACAGCGATCAGAAACCACCTTCGACGATGACTCGAATGAGGAAATTGACATGGTTTTTTCAATATTTGTATCTATTTTCATATTAATAAATTATTAAATCTTATATACATATTATATATATCAGTCATCGACTAAAGCTCGCTCTGTGTAGACATATTTCGGCTTATCTTTTGCGTATTTCGCACAGTACACATCCGTC